TCCTCCCCTCAGTATGAACCCCAACGTCCGATGGCTAATAGTACCAGTTCTATGTTGATTAACAAGTCTTCTGGCGTAGCTGGTGTGCGTCTCGTTTTTTGCTGTGCCGATCTTAATTCCCAAGTCTGCCATTCTGGCGAGTGATGTGGATTCACTGCCACCAAAGTCCTCTATTCTTCCCATTTCTCTGAGGGCATTGATAATATCAGCATGATCCATAGGCTGACCGTCGGTAGTGATAGCGGATCCAGCCAACCTGTCAGCTCTTTCATTTCCATCGACGCCTGCGTGTCCCGGAACAAAAATAAAGGTGACTCCACGAACAGTGGACTTCTGTAATGATTCAAGCCATTGTCTTCGCACTGAACCTGCCTGAACCCTCCGGATCATACTCATTGAATCACTGAGTATACACACGCGGTTGTATTTTTGTGTTTCAAGCCAGGCAAGCGCTTGTGTCACTGCCATCACCTCCATCGTCATGCTGCTGGTTGTCATGGAGAAGGCGCCGTTGGCTTCTTTGACTGTTCTGCCCGCTGAGCGTGCTGTAAATGCCCATGCGCTTCTTCTTTGGCGTATAACGGATCCGTCTGTATAGATTATTGCATCTGCTTCGTCTGAATTTTCACCGATGAGAGCGTTGACCTCTGCATTAACAGCAACAGGATTCTCTTCTCTACATCGCCTGTTGAGTGTGACAATACAGGAAAATGTACAAATAAATAAAAATAAATAATAATTATTATTATTATTATCACTGTGTGATAAATGGTAAATGTTAAAAAAAAATTAATAAAAGAGATCTTTTGTCTTTTATGTATGGTGGGGGGGGGGGGGGTAGAACGAGGTGGAGTGGGGGGGGGGGGGGGGGGGGGGGGTCTTTTATCTCAAAATATTTCTGGTAGTGGCTTTAATGGACTCACACCTTGCTTATTTACAATTATGATAATAAAAATAATAAAAATTATTATAATGAGATGCATATACAAGTACCGCATTTGCAATTTATATATATCTATGAAAGAAAACGGTGAACAATGAAACCAGTGAGAGAGAAAATCTTTTGATCCACAGCTGCCAAGGGAGGGATATATGTATTCTGTATTAGTTAAAATTTTAAGATATCAGAACAAGGAACAATATGCAAACAATAAAGTCTGTTGCAAACACATTAGTGCTCCAAACCTAGCCTGATGTTACAACAGGTTATCCACTGCAGAGCAAATGAAACCAGTACATACACGCACACATAGACTCACACACACACACACACACTATGTAAATGTATGTATACATCTAGTTTGAGTGTAAAAAATTTGACATGTGCGTATGCATGAAAGTCTGTGCCGGCATAATTTTCTTTGTTTGAGATATCAGTACACGTTGTCTACCACATGTCTTTCACCTTTTAGCACACTCTGAAATGCCAGCCTGTGATATTGATATAACTGCAGAGTCTGCCCACTAATGGAATATATATTGGTCAGGACGTGCGCTTACTGTCACTTCGATTTGTTTGTCTTTCGACATGGGATAATAATACAAGCACTAGTAACAATAAGCTTCTCATATTCGGGCCATATTTTATTAGAGTATGGCAGGCAAATATAGTAACGCTATAAATTACAAAAGTGGGGCACTGAATCACAGAGGTTTGAGGTTTGAACAACGGTTCAGCATTTTGGCACACGGGTAGTAGGTTCTCCGTTCTTCTTCTAACTCAAGCCTGAGTCCGAAGAAATCAGCACAGTGCACAGGCTCTGTAGCACCGGCGAGGATCCTGAAAAACTTTTGATTTTGAACTGCAAATTTTACCCTGGCAGCGCATTAGGCTACTTTTTTTTCCAACTGCCAAGAGATTTTTTTATATGCCTAACACGGGCGTCCGATCTCACTACCCAGAGACCAGGTGGAATTACTAGAAGCCTAAGTTCAGGTGACAAAATACCAGCCCTTTCCCAGGATTGAACCCAGAACCTCTAGCACTCGAGGCGGACACCATGCCTCGAGACCACGCAGCCCCCAGAGGCAAACAAAACCAAACTGGAGATGGGGTGGGAGGAATAGACCAGCTTAGGTAGGTGAGGGGCACAAAATATCTTAGAAACGAATAAATAAATTATTCATGTAGCTGCTGTTTTTGGGGAGGGGTGGGGGTTGCAGACGTTTAGACCCACTGCCTTCTAATAAGCATTTTGTACAAGGCGACTAAATGGGAATGTTTCATTTAAAGTCAATGTGCATATGCTGAGAGAAGAGACACCAACTATCTGTAAACAAATAATCCAATTATGTAAAACGGATGTGCATGCAAAACTCAAATTCTGGCGGAAGACCAAAGTCTAAAAGTGGATGACCAGCCAGAACTTTCCGCCGGAGTTTGCAGCCGATAAATGCAAAGAAGAAGAAAAGTAAACGAAAGACCTTCAGTTTCAAACGGTAAAGAGTTTTCAGCATCAGCTCACCTGGCACTGCGTCCTTTTAATCTCAGCCCTTTCATACTGTGTTTGATTAATACTCGTCTTAACAAGTAAACATGAACATCATCATCAAAAACACAATATTAATTGCTGTTGAAACGTTGGAGTGAACTCTAATTGTCTCCACATTTCTCAGTAATGAAGGGGACTGCCTGGTCTCTAGCCATGGTGTCCTTCTCGAGTGATAAAGGTTTTTTCACGTGGACTTGGACTTCTAGTAATTCTCTCTGGTCTCTGGGTAGTGAGATCGGACGCCCGAGTGCATTGTTGCGCTCCTGGCAGAAAATCTCTTGGCAGTTTGAAATCGAAAATAGTAGCCTAACGGCGCTGCCGGGGCAAAATTTGGAGTTAAAAATCTGCCTAAAGTATTTCAGAATCCTCGCCGGTGATACAGAGTCTGTGCACTGTGCTGAGCTTCTTCGGACTCAGACTTGAGTTCGAAGAAGAACGGAGCACTTATGGGTTACTACCCGTGTGCCATGAGGTTGATCCGTTGTTCAAACTTCAAACTTCAAACTTCTCAGTAAAGTTATGTAATGTTAATATACAATTAACCTGTTGGAATGCGTTAGTAACCCGTGCCTTGTTGACTATATTGCCTAATAGATCATATATTATATATATACCTAATACACTTCAGATAGGAAAATAGATGTTATATATATATATATATATATATATATATATATATATATATATATATATATATATGTAAATAAACATGTTTTTTTTCTCAAAGTACATGCTGTGTGATGTTAGTAGTCATGTCCCTCCACAACCATCTATCTCGTGTACTCAATCACCCTGTTTCAGATGATCCTCCATGCAATGATGTCAAACTGTTCAGCATCTTCTCGGTCGGTCTTCCTCTGCCTCTATTCCCCTCCAGATTTCCTGCTATCGAGATGTACTCTAGTTGTCTCCTGCTAATCGCATGGCTAAAGAGTGTAGATTGTCTCTTTCAGATGTGGGTAATAGTTCTCTTCGCCAGTTTCACTCAAGACATCTTCATTACTATTTTTACCTGCTCAGGGTATTCCCATCATTCGTCTATAAAACCACATCTCCGTTTCTTCCAAATTTTGTTTCACTAATTCACTAACTGTCGGCGTCTGTGGCTTAGGCGTTACGAACGCGCTTTGTCATGCCGGCGTGCCGGGTTTGATCCCAGCTGCGGGCCTTGCGCCTTGTTTTGGTTTCGACAGTGGTATCGAGAAGCCGACCGTCCAGGGGCAATGGCAAACTACTGTACGTAAGCTTGCCTAGAAAAACCACAACAGCCAAAAAATGCTGGGGTTAGTTCTGCAAAGTCCTGTAAAGGATGAGCAACTAACTTAATCGACTAACTTACCATGATTCACTTCCGTATATCAGGTTAGTATATATTTAGCTTTTAAGAATTTTCCTTTTTTTTTTTAAATCTCAGTTGACAAATACAGGTTTTTTTTTATTTTGTAAAATAATGCCTTTGCTTGAGCTGTTCTACATATGACTTTTTTTAATGCATCTTCCATCTGACGTTATCAAGGTACCTAATAATACTTAAACATATAAACTTGCTTGAGGTTATCCCATTTACACTGAGTTGAGTTTTGGAGGGTCGGTTTTTTGTTGTTGTTGTATAATTACCATTACCTATGGTTTCCTGCCCTTCAAAGACCCTTCTTTTGATATTATGTTACAATTATGTCTATAATTTCTGCAGTCGTGTTTCATTTCAGCGATCAAATCTTTATCGTCAGCATATGGCAGGTTGTTAGGATTATGCCCACAAACAGATAAACTATGTATGGATCTGTTATTTCTCTGCACAAACTAAATAAATTTGGTGATATTACACATTACTTTCCAACGCCTTGTTTAATGTTGTAAAAAATCTCCAACTTGGTTGACAATTCTTATGGCTGCTTCTTGTTGCCAGTATATGTTTCTTTTTTGTGTGTGTGAGTTTTGTTTGGTTTATTATTCTCAGATCTTTACCATCAGTGTTTAAAGTTTCATAAATTATAATAATTTCTTCTTGTTTCACTTTATCGAATGCTTTAGTGTGAGCAATAAAGCACTTATGCAGATCTCTGCTCATTTATATCATTCTTTCTTAAAGTGTTATCATGATAAATATAGCGTTGTTTGAGTTTTTCTTTTTAAAAAAAACCGTGCGCTCTTCTTCAATTTCTGATTTATGCATATATATAGGCTACTATATATATATATATGTGTGTGTGTGTGTGTGTGTATGTGTATATACATACATTATGTGTGTCTGTTTAGCTTTCTCGCTAGGTGCGCGCGCGCGCTTGGGTGTTTGTATGTGCCTTTGACACTACTTAGCTTTCACGAATTCACGAGATATTCTTTACAGATCTCGTTTATTTTGTCACTATAATACATTTATAAGTTAGGAAATTAAAAACACGAAATTGGACAAACTGCATATACAAAAAACAAAAGACACATTTAGAGATACATTGTACCTGCATGATATTCGAGCTGTTGTCAATCTTTTATACTCTTTTCCAGGGTGGTAAGTGTCCAGCCACATGGGATGGTTACGCTTGCTGGCCGGAAACTGCTGCTGGTCAAAGGCCAGCCATTCATTGCCCGTCCTACGTGCCACATGCTAATACTGCACGTAAGTAGACCATTATATATCTTAAAGGCTCTGATAGCAGTTTCATAATTCCAGCATACCGGATTTCAGTCAGCTGTAGGTAGTTTGCCAGCAGAATTCTAAAAGAAAATAGAGTTCACTATTTACCAAAGTGGAAGTCGCCGTGGCGGAGCGGCTAGACGCTCGCCGCGGATCGAAAGGTCGTAGGTTCGCTCACTGGTGAAGACAGACTTTTTTCAAAAATGACCTTGCCTCCCAGGCTTTTTTCAAAAATGACCTTGCCTCCCAGGTCGACCCAGCCTTGAGTGGGTACCGGGTGCAGTCCCGGAAAGTAAAGTGAAATGCTGACCACATCACCCATCTTGTGCCGATTGGTCTATAAAAATATAGGTCTAGCCCTATATGCCCTATACCCGTAAACGCGTCGAAAAGGGTCCTTTACTTTACTTACTCACTAAAGTGTCTGTCCACACTTCATATCCTCCAGCGAACCGTTGTTTTCTCTAAGCTACTCTCTAAGATTACTGACTGCATCATTCGGCTCAGAAACGTATTTTTTAATGGCCCCCGTGAACATTACTGGTGCCACGACAAACGTGCTGTGTTTGACGCTGTTGGCAGGCGATATTTTTATCTGTTAAAAACTGAATAAGGGAAAAAAAAGTTAATACTCCCATCCCACTCTCGTCCTAATGCTTGTATCAGTAACATTAATTATTTAACAAAATTAACAACATTGAAAAAAAGATGCTTGAGAAAAACCTCAAATGTAACCACCCGAGACAACATTGAAAATTATATTCTCAGACAGACTTTGGGAACAACACCACGCAACTAATTTATTGAGAAGCAAAGGATCAAATGGTTTGGTCAACTAGTAAGAATGCAGCTAGAACAATACTAACACAGGCGCTACGTGTGAAGCAATGTGAAGTAAAATCAAGAGGTCACCACAGGAGAACATGGACTGACGACATTAAAAAAACTTCTACAAGGACACGAATTGACAATAACTATTACTGCCCAACAAGCAGTGAATCGCAAACGGTTCCGCCTAAAATGCTTAACGGCAGAAGTGGAAATCAATGATGATGATGATGATGATAATAATGATGACGGTTATGATGATGAACTGTTAAACTCAACATTATTATCACATTACCCACCTCAAATCAGCCGATATACAATTTTAGGAACAGTGTCTTACTAAGATTCTTCGAAGCCATCAAAGATGAAAATAGCGAAAAATGTAGAGTGGGAAGCAAAAACGAAATTCATACTCGTTTTTAAATCACCAACTATCTACAAACACCATAAGAGCTAATATATTGCAGTGGTTGGGATTATAAAATAAATGACAGGCGAAAGAAAGACAAAACTTCTCAAAGGAAGTGAATATAATAGATCACAAAGTAGAACAAAAAGATGGGGAGATAATATGCAGACATACCTACAAACACCTTTAGTGATCAACTGGAAGGTTTGAGGTTTGAACAACGCCTCAACATCATAGCACATAAGTGCTCCGTTCTTCTTCTAACTTAAGTCTGAGTCCGAAAACGCTTAGCACAGTGCACAAGCTCTGTAGCACCGGCGAGGATTCTGAAATACTTTTGTTAGATTTTTTAACTCTAAATTTGTGCCTGGGTAGGCTACTATTTGCGATTTCCAACTGCTAAGGGATTTTTTTGCGTGCACAACACTGCACACGGGCGTCTGTTCTCACTACCCAGAGACCAGGAAGAATTACCAGAAGTCCAAGTTAACGTGAAAAAATACCAGCCCTTACCAGGAATTGAACCAGGAACCTCTAGCACTCGAGGCGGACACCATGCCTCGAGACCACGCAGCCTCTTTGATCAACTGTAAAGAAAAGGACATTCTCAAATATGAATATTGCCGAACGGTGTTTGTTACAATGAACTCTAAATGCTCGGAAATATTAAGAACTCAGATCTTAGTTTCACATTTTAAGTATAAATTATTTTAGACTGAAATCAATGCTAGATTTGTCACACGACAGAAAGGTGCCATTAACAAGTGTTTTAGATTAATTCTCGAAGACATCGCATGCAACTAAAAGATTCTTTAATTAAAAAAAAAAAAAAATACTCAAGGACATTTATTTCTAAATCAAAGTACTTGATCACTCTTAGGCACCGTTGATTTTTAAAGAATAGTTTTCATGCAAGATAAAATCGGTGTCCAATTATAGTTACGACCACCACAGTGTGAAAGGATAATCATTCTTATTTATCAGGTTACTGTATTGTGAGTTGTTTTGACCTGCTACCGTCATTTCCCCATTTCCGTTCAATAGAAATACCTGTATTCCAGTGTAAGTAAAGTAAAAGACCCTCTTCCACGCCTTTAGGCGATCAGGGCTAGACCTATATTTTATAGACCAATCGGCACAAGATAGGTGACGTGGTCAGTATCACACCGGCCACTTTTACTTCCCTGGACTGCACCCGTTACCCACTCAAGGCTGGGTCGACCTGGAAGCCAAAGTCATTTTTGAAAGAAAAAAAAATGTCTGGCTCCGTTAGGACGCGACTCACGACCTTCCGGTCCGCAGGCGAGCGTCCAGCCGCTTCGCCACGGCGACTCCTGTATTCCAGTATGGGGGACTATATTATCCACCAATGTATTATCCATTGTGGGAGACTATATTGATTCTAAAGCATCACATTTGGCCTCCTAAATGTGTGTTTCTTTTGAATCCCTGATTTATCAATACCATTTGTTTCCCATTGAAGTGCAAATTTGGGTATTATCTGTTCGCTTCTCCGCAGGATGTGACAATACATCGCCGTTTTCTTTGTCTTATGAAATAGAAATATTTGTAAGCCATTGTGACGGATTTCATTAGCCATTGTTAAAATACTGAGATAACATATGAAGGCACATACCTTATTATGGGTTGCCGCATTCCAGCTTGGAGCGTAAATCACATTCTACAGAATTTCTTTCAAGATTGCCCAGATTTTGTCAGAGAGAGAGAGAGAGAGAGAGAGAGAGAGAGAGAGAGAGAGAGAGAGAGAGAGAGAGAGAGAGAGAGAGAGAGAGCGAGAGAGAGAGAGAGAGAGAGGGAGAGAGAGATGGGGAGGGGGGTAAGAGAGAGAGAGAGAGAGGGGGGGGGGGTTGGGTAAGAAAGAGAGAGACAACGAGAAGAGGAGAGGGGGTGGGGAGATCCTAAACAAAAGTAGCGACCATTCAGTACAATCTATGATCAATGGTGACCATCAGCCTTCTATCTTGTTTGAAGTTCATGCTTTAACAGTCACAAAGCAACTACTAATCGAAGAAGAAGAAAAAAAAAAAAGAAGAAGAAGAAGAAGAAGAAGAAGAAGAAGAAGAAGAAGAAGAATAAAAAGAAGAAGAAGAAGAAGAAGAAGAAGAAGAAGAAGAAGAAGAAGAAGAAGAAGAAGAAGAAAAAGAAGAAGAAGAAGAAGAAGAAGAGCAGCAGCAGCAGACCAATTTCAGTCTATTAGCTCTCATGATGCCAGCGATCAATGGCGATTTAAACAGATTATAAATTTCGTTGTTGCTTCTCATTCTCAATTCTTTGCTGTTTACAACTTTGGTGAATCTAACGATTTCTCTTTTTTTTTTTAAATGAATTTGAAAAGGCTACATCTCTTTTTGTTGTGGTCAAAGTTTCAGAACTATATAAAACTACTGGTCGCATCAGCTGTTTATATATTTTATTCTTAGTTTATCGAGACCAGACGTTAATTTTTAGCAGTTGTTCTATACTTTATTTTTATCTTTACTTATCCTCAAAAAAAAACAAAAAACAAAAATGATGATCACTCAACTTCATAAATTAGATGTTCACCCGACATCAGAAAACATATACCATCACACAGAATAACAAAAATAGACGTTACTCAACATTAGAATGATAGATGAGCACTCAAAATCATAAAAGCATGACCTCGGCACCAGAAAGACGAGATTTTTTTTGCACAAGATGGTTAACAAATCTCTTCCTACACCAGTACAAAATTCGCCGGGGAATTCACTTCATATTTTCACGTCCTATGTTAATTAAAGACGTCAAAGCCAGCTAACAGCCTTTTTTCTAGGTTGACATTCTGACAGAGGTTATGTCGTGTCATTGATTTCTGACAAAACCTCGAAAATTTGAATTCGTATTTGGTTCCTATTCATGAGCTGGATGGGACTAATCCCGTATATCATTAACTCATTGCCAGTCATCAATGAACTGCCTTGGTTATTAATAAACTCCACACTCGCAATTTAAAGTAACCAATGCATAAGTGTTAAAAAGTTGAAATATGAACACAACGAAACAGGCGTAAACTAGTTAGTAGAATATTCTTCTTCTGCTTCAGCATTCCGAGCCCTTTGGGTTCATTGCTGCATATATCATCCCCTTGCATTCATCTTTCTGGCTCGCCTTTTTTACAACTGGTTACAAGTTTTTGTTTGTCTGCCTGCATTGTATCTCTAAGGGTTTTCTTGGTCTGCCTTGTTGTCTACGACCATTTGACTCCATTGTGTACATAGTCATAGTTTTACCGGTTGTTAGACATTCTCTCAATATGCCCCATCAATTTTAGTCTGTTAGCCTAAATTTATGATGCCAGTGATCAATGGTGATTTAAACATATTACGAATTTCGTTACTTCTTCTCCTTCTACACTCCTTGGCAGTATGTAGCAAAATGGTATGAATTAATTTATGCGATAGATGAGAGAGAGAGAGAGGTTGAGAGAGAGAGTGAGAGAGAGAGAGAGAGAAAGAGAGAGAGAGAGAGAGAAGAGAGAGAGAGAGATTTGGGGGGGGGGATGGAGGGGAGCGTCAGAAAATGCACTCAAACCTCTGGTTGAATAAACACGGCCCTCTTTTGATAATATATTATAGTTGCACTTCTGTTCCTGCACGACTTAATTTTTTTTAATTATTAGGTTTGCGAACAGATATCTCAGGCAGGAATTACACTTTAGTGTCCGAACAGCAGTTCAGTGGTACTCTGAAAACGGCAGATGAAA